ATTTAACAAATTATAAAATTATATACAATTATGAAAGGTACAATAAAAAAAGAAAGAACAAAGTAAATATTAAAGAACAAAAATATATGTCGTAATCCTCGAAGAATTATGAATATTATGAAATGATAAGCAAACACAAAATAACTTCGAAAAAAATAATAATTTTTACATATTTTAAGGAATATTATTTGGCCGTAAGGTGCTGTTGGAAATTTCTAATTATTTTACACTAATATTTTTTAGACACAAATGGATTTACGACAAACATGTTTCATTACGTTCTTTTAGGTCAACCTAACCTAACTTCTTAATTATAATTTATTTAATGCAACTTTTCACTACTTATAGAAAAATAGCGCGCACAATTTTATACAATTTGCCGATAACTTATACAAAACTTGGCACGATTTATACTTTAAATTTGTTTTTGTATATATTTAAAAATATTTCACATACTTATCAGTATGCAGGTAACAGCAAATTTGTACATGTTTCTTCTATACACAACATTTATTTAAGTCGCGATCTTAACACCAAATTGCTGTTACATCACAACACAAACAGCTTAAATCGTGCATTGGCACTTTTACAAATGAAAAAACACATGCCATTTATTGTCGTAATTCGATTTTAAGTAAGTATATATGTATGCATTTAGTATGTTGAAAAGTGGGAACTGCAGAAAACTATTTATTTATAAGGCGCACAATCAAAGGTGTTGTTAGCAAATGGGTGAATTGTTATAAAATTGGAGCGTGTGACGAATTAATTTCGTTTGAGAAATGCAATAGTGGCGAAATCTGTACGTAAATAAGTATGTACATATGTATGTATGTCTATATTGAGACCAGCAATATTGAAATATAACACTCATTATTCAGCAATAAAAATAAATTTGTTGATATTTACATTCAAATGCACTTTACTTTGGCAATACCTATGTAATTGAATGAGCGAAATGCATTAAGAGCATTCGTTTGTACGAATTAGTTGTTAGGTGTGTGAGAAGCGGTATATTATCATATGCATGCATAAACATGATTGATGCAAGATATTTACATAAAATATAAGATAAAGCGCACTTGAAATAATTTAATAAATGTTCGTACTTTTTTATAGCCCTGTGATATGTATGTATAATACGAAACTATTAATTATTAAAAGTTGCATTGGAAAAAAATACGAATAATAACGAGTAGCTATAAATTGGAAAAATTACAATGATAACTTCCTAAAAATAAAAGCAATCAAACTTAATGGCCAGCTAGAAATTTCATAATAAAATCAGTTTGTGACAATTGAAATCTCATGTCCCCAACACCACTAATAATATTCACGCCCTCATTTTCAGCATATAATGGAAACTGTTGACGCATTTTAATCGCAACGAGTTGACATAGGACTACTATGAAACCGGAAATAACACTTTAGCGCCTACAACAGAGACCAACACAGCTTTATTATTAAACAGGCAGGGTATAAGAAAATATATGCTGGCAATTGACAAACATACATATATACATATACATATAAATAAATATATATGTATCATATTATGTACATATTTTAAATATTATGTTGTGAGTTTTTGTTTACTCCAGCGCATATTTTGTAAAAATAGCACAAAAATCAAAGTGTATAGGAGAACAAAAGTGAAAAGGGGTCACAACATGAAGAGATTGCGCGCTGGAATTTCATTTCATTTTCATGCCCGCTTGGTCCTCTGTTCATAGCGTAATTGTCATGCGCATAGAATTTGTGAAATCCGAGTAAACAAAATATGCAAAAATTTATTTGCGCATATCATTAGCGTTTGGATGAGCAATAAAAACAAAAGTAGTGCGCCCCTCCATATATGTATGCATACGAAGCAATTCCGATAAAAGTTCCCTAGCGTTTGACTGTGGGTTGCCTAAAATGTAAGCACGTCAGCGTATTTTGCTCATTTGCCTACCAAATAGGCATGTTAGAAATTTTGCTAGACTTATTTTTCATTTAACTGTCAATTATTAGCGAAAACAATAGATAGCGAATATGACATATCGACACAAAAAGCGATTGGGGCGAAACTAAAAGCAAAAGTGATAAAGATGAAAAAATGTTATAGCTTGCGCTTAAGCATAAGCAGTATACTTTACAAACAAATTAAAACAAAAAATATTTATGAAAAAAAAAAAAATATTATCAAAAATTAAAATTGATATAAAAGTAGAACATGATCGGACGAAATCAAAATGCTCGACAATTGCAATTTAAGTGTGCCTTGCACAATCTCCTCAACATCACATATAAGATTACATCGAGCGTACTGTGTGAAAGATTAAAGTCCACCGTCAACAAACTGATTGGAATTTGTCAGTGTGGCTTTAGATCTGGAAAATCTACAATCGACCAGATTTTCAGCAAGCGCCAGGTCTTGGAAAAGATCCGTGATCACCTCTTCGTCGATTTTAAAGCCGCCTTCGACAGCACGAAAAGGAACTGGCTCTATGCCGCTTTATATGAACTTGGTATCTGCGCAAAGCTAATACGTCTGCGTAAGCTGACGTTGAGCAACACTATAAGCTCCGCTAGGATCGGGAAGGATGCGAAGTAGGGTGTCTGCCAAGGAGACTCTCTAACGTGTGACTTCTTCAATCCACTGCTGGAGATAATAATTCGATCTGCAGAGCTGAATAGAGAAGGCACAATCTTTTATAAGAGTGTACAGCTGCTGGTGTACGCCGATGATATTGATATCATTGGCCTCAAAAACCACGCCGTTAGTTCTGCTTTCCCCAGATTGGATAAGGAAGCGAAGCGTATGGGTCTGGTTGTGAATGCGAACAAGACGAAATATTTTCTCTCATCTCTAGGGTGTCTCATCAAACAGTCGTCGCACTCGATACATGGCTCCCATGTTACTGTTGATAGTCATAACTAGAAAGTGGTAGATAATTTAGTCTATCTTGGACCCGGTATTAACAGCAACAACAACGTCAACCTCGAAATCCAACGCAGAATAACTTTTGCCAACAGATGCTACTTCGGACTGAGTAGGTAATTGAGAAGTAAAGTTTTCTCTTTACAAACAAGTTCCAAACCCTACAAGTCACTCATCATCCCCGTCCTGTTATATGGTGCAGAGTCGTGGACGATGACAACATCTGATGAGTCGAAGTTACAAGTTTTCGAGAGAAAGATTTACAGGTATAGTTCTGTTCGAATTAAGAGACAGCAGCAACTTTGGCTAGGTCATGTCGTCCGAATAGATGAAAACACTCCAGAACTGAGAGCATTCGACACAGTACCCGCCGGGGGCAGCAGAGTACGAGGAAGACCAGGGGGGTGGAGAAGGACCTGGGTACACTTGGAACCTCCAATAGGCGTCAAATAGCGAAAAGGAAGAACAACTGGCGCGGCTATAACTTCGTAAGTGATGTTTACGCCAATAAAGAAGAGGTAGAAATCACTTGCAATTTCTAATAGAGCTAAAGTTATGTAATATTTTAACAATACAAATTAAAAAAAAATTGTTGATTAGAAAACTTAAGTCAAATGTTTATAGATAACATGACTTACGAGCACTAGTGGAATTCCCTTGGCGGCAAATACATATATGCGATTTTCGATATGGTATATGGAACGTGCTGATAAAATTCTATTTCAGTAAACTGCTTCAATAAATACCAAAATGTTCAAAAATGAAGTTACGCTATCAAACTAACGGGAACAGTCATCATTTACGTAACCAATTAACAGCAAATGAACTATCTAATCTTATAAAATCGCAGATAGTAACGCATATTTTTTGAGAAAGCCTCAAAAATTTGGTCACTTTGCGTGATAATTTATAGTTGAGACATGCTATTATAAAAAAGTTTAAACAAAACAATAAACATTTGAGTAATGTGGCCTCTTAACTTTCTAAAGGAGATCGTTAAAAGTATTTGATAATTGGTCCGATGCTAAAAGCGCTAGATAAATGGTTGCTATTCTTTTAAGCTACGCATAAAAATTAAATATAATAGAGACAGATTAGTGAACATTAATTTCTAATATAACATTTTAGTTATTGTGGTTAAAAACCAAACTTTTTTCACTTAATTATTTCTAAACGAATATTTTCGTTTTTCTTTTTTGAGTTATATTCTTTTAACACTTAATGATTTGGGTGAAAAATGAATCTTGTTAGCACATTTATGCCTCAAGAGTAAGAGTAAAAGTAATAGTGGCAGAGAGAGGAGAGAGAGCGAAAGCGTCAAAGACAGTAAATTAATGAAGTTCATTATACTTACCGTTGCTTCTTTGGATTTCTGTCGGATGCTTGACTTTCCATCGATCACAATATTAGCATTTTCGAATTCAACATCGCAGGGTGATGGTGGGCACATAGAGAAATCATCATAATCCGAGTCTGTTGAAGTTTCTAATGAGAGATCACCAAGTAGCACGAAACCAGATTCATTTGGCTGCAGAAGAAAAAGTGAGAAATTGAAACATAAGCGTTTAGTATGCAAACATTTAAAAAAATAATGAATTTAGTAAGAAAAATTACGTCAACAAAAATAAAATTATGTGGCATATACATAGTTTCTATTATATGACTGCTTACAAGACAAACAACGTTCATTTAGTTGAGGTTATAGGCGCCTATATGCAATCATTTATCAAGGTCGTGTCGTTGACATTTTTCATACCATACATACCATACATACATACAATAATTGCTGCAGCATACGCCTTTGAATGCTTGATCAAGCAACGTTTGCCACAAATTGACACTTGACATTGTTGGCGGCAATTCACAGCTGACACAAAACCTGACAGCTGGCCAGTTGTTGATATAACAAATGCGAAAGTACTAATGCAGCAAAAAAGGAAAGAAAAACAAGAAAAAACTGAGCTTCAGGCATAATACCCTTCACATTTAAAATAGTTTAACATACAGGAACGTGATTTTGATGGTCAGTTTGCCTGGCGCCTATATGCTATAGTGGTAAGGCTGAGCTCAGGCTACTACCAGGGTCACAGCTGGCGCATAGTGGGCGGCCTACGTTAAGTAGGTTAGCGTCGAATAGTAATACGCAGCCTCGTCCAAGAGCTGCAGGAGATGAGGGTTTGGCTCAAAACGCCTCATGCTCCCAAAGAACCTCCCGAGAAGAGGCGAGAAGCTGTCGCCTTAAAGCTTCCAAAACCGCCATCGAAGTCGCATCGAGGGGGAACCTACCCACGAGAGGGTAGCACCAAATGAGCACAGACGACCAAGAAAACCCTGTGCAAGCGCTCATCAGAATCGAGGCCAGTAAGATTCTGATTATGGAGTATTGGAAACCCGGAACGGATTGGTTTGACAAAGGGCAGGTGAGGGCAGTATTCGATCACCTCATTAGGTAAGAGTGACATCGTACCGAAATGGTTGGCAGGTTAATATTGTTCTCACATCCGTCTCTTTAAAATTCTGGCAGGTCTTCAAGTACGTTTAATGCACGTCGCCATAATTTTTTAACCATACAGATTCAGTTGCGATGGGCTCCTGATTCGTGCTTGCACCTGGCTCTAAACATACAGAAGTCTCCTTATGGGAAGACTTGTGCAAACCTTTGCGTGGCTTCTCTGCTCGCATGGATAACCACGGGATTCATAAATAGCAACTGTTACAATGTGCGGAGATAGCGACGAGGAAATACGGGACCATGTTCCGTAGAAGTAGTAGGATCCTTAGATCCCCAACACTCACCATCAGTCCTAAAAAAACTGAGACAACTGGAGAAAAGTAGCATCCAGCCACACAAACACCACCAGACCATTTCGTGAAGTCATATTTCCAAATAAAAAATATTTCCATAGAAGGGCTGCATTTTGGGTCTGCTATCGGCGGTTCCGACCAATGACCAGATTTTTGGAGAGAAAAGAGTATGTGCAAAATTTCAGATTGATATCTCAAAAACTGAGGGACACGATTGGGCAAATACAAACAGATGGGTAGACAGACAGGCGGATATTTACTTTCTAAGGTCTCCCGACTTTTCCTGCTGGTTGAAACAAACTTCGTGGCGAACTCAATTTAGATTGGACAGGGTATAGAAATATGACAAAGGCGCACAATTGGTCCAGCGGCTGTGCACTTTTGCGAATATTTGCATACATATGCAATATATATATGAAGACATGTGCTCACACAACACTTGCTACATACTACATATATTTACGGATTTAATATCGTTTTTGCACACACCACTGACGCGAAACTGTTAAATTGCATTAAAATTGTTGTCTGAAGTGCCGCTTAGTGAGACGTCTTTGCCTGCTTGAGTTTGGTGCCCTTCTATGCCAAACAGCGCTGAGCCTCGCGATCAAAACGCCAATCTGACATGTGGACATAGCAACCTTGCATTGTTTGCAAGCCTTTTTTCCCCATTTGAATTTTGAATAGTAGCAAAGTTAAGCCACAACTAAGTACACTACAGGCAGTCAAGTTGGCCGTCGCTCAGCTACTACAATGTGTTATAATTATATTTATGCGAAAAGATAAAAAAAAAACATTGTTTGCAGAGTCAAGCTCGGTTAGCGCTCAAGTATGGCAGGCGTTGACTGACTTGAGGCGCTCTAACAAAGACAAGTGATCAGGCGTGCGCATGCTCTAGTCTAAAATAGAAGTTTGAACGGGTTTATATCACGTATGTATGTACATAATTATATTTATATTTAGAGGCGTGTGTAACTACACAAGCGTGTTGTTAGCTACACTCGCAAGTTTAACGATCTCTGTTATTTAGTTGATGATCACGCCGATCTTGGCTTGGGAACGCCAGCGTATAATCAGGGCGACAAAATGGGAACAGAAAAATGAGCTCAAAGAATAAATATTAAAAAAATAAAAACAATGAGCTTTAATTGCCTGTGACACAAAAGAAATGTGCGGTTGAGGCTTAAGCAAGATAAATAAAGGAATATAAAATAAAAAATACGGAAAAATAAGGAAAAAAGTGCTGCATGTAAGAATCAAAGCGTAAGCAAGGTCAATTTATAAATTAAGCTTAAGTCGGCTTTGTCTGGTTTAAGCATGAATTTTTGCTCCGTTAAAAATTGGCGTTGAACGCTATAAATAACAACGAATTTATGCTTGCGACTGTAAATGCTGGAATTATGCAAATTTCGAAAAATTTATTTCAAATGCAATAACATTACAATTGGATGCGTAACGAATTTCGTGCGAATTGATGTAAGGTAGGAATTTTTGATATTTTTTTTGTTAAGTATTATTTTTTATATATTTTTAGTTTTTGATTTTTTAATGCACAACAAATTTAATTACAAGCATTCATTTATTATAAAAATGAAAATTAACGTTCTGTAAAGCATGTGTTTCACGCGCTTCGCTCAGCTCAACAAAATCGGCATACTAAGCGTACTGTTCGCAACACCATCACTCCGCTTGAGACCCAGCATTCATTAATGGATAATATTCGACCTTCGCAAGCGACATCGCTTCACTCTATGAGCTCTCGAAAAGTTGCAAGAAAATCCAACGATTTCGAGCCAAATTTTGTTCAGCGATGAGGCCCATTTCTGTCTTAATGGGTATGTAAACAAGCAAAATTTCCGCATTTAGAACGAAGACTAACTTGAAGAGATTCAAGAGCTGTTATTTCATCCAGTAAAACCAACGGTTTGATGTGATTTGTGGGCCGATGGAATCATCGGTCCATATTTCTTCAAAAATATTGCCGGTGAGAACGTAACCGTCGGTTGCGACCGTTATCGCGCTATGATAACCGATTATTTGATGACTGAAATTGAAACTCGTGATCTCGGGAACATTTGGTTTTAACAAGGCGGCGCCATTGGTCGAAATGTTCGAACGAGTCACCGAAAATGGGGCTCGACGTATGGGCCATCTGAGAAATATGCCTCATTAAATTTGAAGTTTCTGTATTTTTTCTTTAAAAAAGTAGGGAAAATCGAAATGTATCATCTTTTACTTATACCACAATTATACAAATGAGTTTTTAGCGAAAAAAAAAAAAACGGATTGAAACGTTTCAGTAAATAATAGAAAAATCAAACTCGCAGATGATCGAAAAATAGTAGGAACTATTATTATTTACAAGCATTACCACATCACCATAAATACATTAAGCAACAATATTGACAACTAAAAATTACTGTTAACTGTCATTTACCGCATTTTTGACATGAGCTAGTAAATATGTTGTAAAAATAATTACATACATATATTACTAATATCAACCAAACCAGCAGTAAATATGTGCATACATACATACTTATGTTTACTTATAAATACAAATAAAATATGTCCGTAATACATACATACATATGTATGGCTAGGCTAAGAGCTAGCACCCAGAAACCGCTGCCATGTAGTAGAAAATAAAAGCATAAAAGAATGTTGCCAATAAGTAGCGAAAAATAAGAGTTTGCAATTAAGAAATTACCTACTTGGTAGAGTTACACGTGTAAGCGCTAGTACAGACAAGACATGCCTAACATATACTAGAAATGCTTAAGTAGCGAAGTAGTTAGTAGTTAGATTGTTAACCAACGAACTGCATAAATTTTATCTTGTTGCGCTACCATATAACTGTTAAAGCACACTAGATACAACATAGTATTTGAAAAATGTGCATTAGAGCCGCAAGAGTTATGTAGTTGAGGCAGTAGGTAAGCTTTGAAGGCATATGCATACCTAATATATATTATTAGGGTGCGTCATTTCAAGCAACTACTTAAAAAAAAAAAATAAAAAAAAAACTTTCAAAAAGTTAAAAAAGAGGGTTTTTTAAATTTTGAGTGCATAATATTAATATTAAAAAGAAGCAAGAAGATAAATATTCAAAAACTATATAATACCCTTCATAAATAAAAAAAATTGTCTGTACAAGAACTGGATTTTGACCGCTCAGTTTGCATGGCAGCTATATGCAATAATGGTCCGATCTGAACAATTCATTCGGACATTGTACCGCATAACCAATTGCCCATAAACCTATAAAATAATATAAAGATATATATAATATAAAGATATTTTGTCAAATAAAAAAGTTTGCGATACAAAAGCTACAAAACTGATTCTAGTCCGTACTTATATACAGACATATAGACAGACAGACATGACTAATCGACTTTCCTCGTCATGTTGTTCATAATTCCCCATTGGGTCCCCGATATTTCCTTCTGGATGTTAAAAACTTCGTGGCAAACTTATTATACCCTGTTCAGGCTATAGTTACACACTCTAATATGTATGTATGTATGTATGTATGCATGCATGCATATTTACCGCTTGTATGCACTCGCGCTTCACGGTCATTTTACAGATTTTACGGTAGCGCAAATTTTCAGTTTACATTTTTGCAGTCTTACTTCATTTTTAGGCTGTATGCACTTATATATGGTAGATATATGTACATATGTACATACGTATTGTTGCACGACTTTTGCCGGCACT